CAAGGAGCGCGATGGGGGCGGGGGTTGCTAATTCTTAGCACCATGCCAGACACACAGGGAGCATTCCACAGATTTTTATTTAATCAATGATGGGGGACGGGCACTTTTTGCAGCGCTGCACACATTAATTACTAGCTTTGGGTGACTCATTGATAATGCTTGTAACGGAAACCTCCATGTTCATCCCTGCGGAGAGTGACGCTCTAAACAGCTCTTATCAGTACCCTGAACCCAGGGAGCATCTAATAAACCTGGACTTCGGTCACTTTATTAGGAAGGCCCACTGTGTTCCCTTAGGCTTTCTTTCGGTTGGGCTGAAACTGCACGAATTCACCATCCCGGACTGAGATGAGCTCAGCAGGCGGGACGAGGCCAGCACAGCCCAACCCCGTTTTCCCTGCGGAGCCGCAGCTGCCCTGGGCTGGGGGCTGGGGTTTGCACACTTACCCACCATGAATCCTGCCAGGAAAGAGGCCAGCGCTGCAGCCAAGCACATGCAGAGGTACAGCCGGCCCCTGGACTTGGCCATGGCCTCTTCGCGGCTGAGCTCGGAGCGCAGGCTGCTGTAAGGAGCCTCGAGGGTGCACAGGAACCAGGAGAGCGCGCGTGGGGAGGCGCTGAGCATCCAGGCTCCCGCGGGGCGTGGCCACCGTGGACCTTGGCCCAGGCTCTGCCTCCGCCCCCCAGGTCCCCCCATCGAGGAGTGAAAGCCTGCTCCCAACAACTCCTGGCTCCTTCGTTCCCCAGGGGGCCGCCAAGGGAGAGAGAACGCTCTGCAGGGGAGGGAAACACATTGTTCGGGTTGGCAGGCAACTTCCAGTCTGTTGATTCCAGGCAGCAAAGTCGGCCGTGGGAGCTCTGAAAGTGTCCCTACTGGGTACCTAAAGCACTCTGCTGACCTGCCTCTGTGCCACCCCCGTTCTAGGCATTGCTGAGTTTCAGCCGGAAATGCACCGAAGTCCCACTTGCTTTCCGTTCCCTGTAGATTACCCTGCTGCCCCGGATTCTGTCCTAATTTCTGATGGGTCACGCTTGGGAAGCATTTTGGGTGCTGGCCGCTTCGCTGTCTCACATAGGAGTTCCTTCAGGCATCAACATCACAACTGGTAGGTTTGAGTTCTTTTGTTTTCCCCTTAGCTGAACAGGTCTCCAGATTCCTGTACTTCTCAGTTCCTTCTGCAACTGGAGCCCTGTCCCTACCCCACTGGAGTGCTGTGGGTTCAAGTTAATTAGATTAACCATTGCAAGTGCTTTGCTCCATCACTGGCAGGAGGGTCTCAACAAATGCCACCCTCCTTGTCCTCCCCCACCTACCACGTTTACAGATGCTTCTCTTTAAAAGTGTTTTGTTCTTTATAGTAAGGTAAGTTTTTTGAACAACAACAACAAAAGTGTTTTAGAAAGTTTGCACAAGGAAGGTCCCTGTAAATGGCACTCCCAAATCCATCCATTTCACCCTAGAGCAGTGGTTCTCAACCTTCCTAACGCCATGACCCTTTAATACAGTTCCTCGTGTTGTGGTGACCCCCAACCATAAAATTATTTTCGTTGCTACTTCGTAACTGTAATTTTGCTACTGTTATGAATCATAATGTAAATATCTGATATACAGGATGTATTTTCATTGTTACAAATGGAACATAATTAAAGCATAGTGATTAATCACAAAAACAATATGTAATTATAGATGTGTTTTCCGATGGTCTTAGGTGACCCCTGTGAAAGGGTCATTCGACCCCCAAAGGGGTTGCGACCCACAGGTTGAGAACCTCTGCCCTAGAGGAAATCTTTAGCAAGTCCCGACTGGATTCCTCATATCCAACTGAAAGCAGTTATGCAGCCAAAGGGAAAATGCCTATGAGTGGGTTATGAGAGATAGTATATCTGTGGTTACATTCCCAATCTTCACTGCATTTTCCAAGCCCTGATGATCTCAGCTGTAAAAAATACGTAAACAGCCTGGCTGGCGTCGCTTGGTGGTTGAGTGTTGACACATGAACCAAGAGGTCACTGGTTGGATTCCTGGTCAGGGACATGCCTGGGTTAAAGGCTCCATCCCTAGTAGGGGTCATGCAGGAGGCAACAGATCGCAGGTCATTAATATTTCTCACCAATGTTTCTATGTTTCTATCCTTTTCCCTTCCTCTAAAATAAATCAATAAAAACATACTTTAAAAAATATATGTAAATGGATCCACCTTAAAATGGAACTGGAGTCACCAACCCAGAGGAACTGCCTTACCCGTCTCACTCCTCAAATTTTGAAATGTCTTAAGTGAGCAGAATAACTGGGACAAAGCAACATGGTATTCCAAATCACTGTTTGCAAAGCAGACAGTCTGACGACAGGACCGAAAGTTAAACACATCCTTTAGAATCAGCAGCACTATGTATAGCTAAGCAATAACTTAGCTTACCTGCCCTATAGAAATTCCTTCCTTGGCTTATTATCACCAATAGAAATGCCTTCCCTTCTATTAATGTGATTATTCTTCCCTTTCTCATAAAAACCCCTTGCCTTCACCCCCTAATCAGAATGCTATCTGGGTTTCTGCCTGAATCAGTGCTTCCTAAATAGCTGTTCTTTTGGATCTCAGAGAAATGCTTGTTGCCCATCACTCTGGCTTATTAGTTTAGATTAACAAAGTTAAGGCATTTTACTTTGCTCCTAAGGAGATTCCAGAAGAGTCTAATTTCTTGTTTCTTGCACTGTAATTGTTGATGAATATATCTGATGGTTTTTCTCTTGGCACTTTTGTGAAATGCCTGATAGTTAGCATTGAAACAAATATTGTTAGTGAATGAATTGATTTCAAAATACTTTAGCCAGGCAACAAGGGTCTTCTCAATGCCACAAACAATATCAAATGTCATTTGTGTCAGTATTCAAAAAAATGTGTCATACATATAACTTTGGTGGATTGGTTATATAATTTCTTAATTTCTAGGCTCTTGGCCTTTTCTATCTGCTCCCCATGGGATACTGTTTTTGGCTACATTCCTCTCAAAAGGCTGATCAAAACCATCTCTAGATGAAGGCTTATTGCAGAAAGATGAGTTAGAAAGTACTGATTAAAAGGACTGTTATTGGTGAAATTTGTGTTTTCCTACTCCTCTCTCAATTTTATAGCTAAAGTTGGGTTAATAGAAGAAATTGGTGTATTAATTAGCAGTTTTCTAAGCTGATTAATTTTCCCAAATTAAAGGTAGGTTATTCTTAAGTCAATGTTTATTAAGAGGCTACAGCCGACCAGAAGTGAAAAATTCTGAGAATCTGATCCTTGCCTTTAGGAAGCCGATGGTACAATGAGAAGGCAAATATTGAATATGTAATTAAAGGTAAGTGTTCTAGGGTGGAGCAATATTACCTTAAATGTGAAGGTTGTCGCTGCCTCAGTAGGTGGCATCTACAATCTTTGTCTTGCCAATCCATCGTAAAATGTCCACTTAGCCGGTTCAGCACATCTTAGGCCTTGTGTAAATACAGATACAGATGATACATTATTTTATCTTAACTAACGTTATAACAGAAGGTTGCTATCACAGTTTCTAATTATTTGTCCTTGGACAATATTTGCTTCCTATAAGCACATTTAACAAAACACCATTGTTGACTTATGCCAACCCCTTTCAATCCTTCCTTCAAAGCTAAAACGTGTATAAGAACCTTTTGGTATTGGAAAATGCAACTCTCAATAAAACTACTTAACACACTTGACCTGCTCATTATTCAGTGAGCCTCTCACATGACAGAACTAGTTTCTCTGTTCACAAACATAAACTGCTCTTACATAATCTCTCCCCCTTTTCACATCCTGAAAGAGGCCCTCTTGTAACTTTCAAGTTAAAATTCCATCAACTGGGTCACAGGAGATTTGAAAACAAAGTTTCACTCGTGGCCCAATAAAGCAATATAGGTGAATTCCTTAACGAACATACCAGTAGTTAAGATTTCATAAAGAAGGAATGATGTTTAACGGTGTCAAGGTTCGTATTTTGTTTGACGATGTTGCCATGTCTTTCATAAGAGAGGGATCACCTGGATGCTCACTGCGGGGATACAGACATGATCCAGACATTAATGATGTCACAAGGTGACATGATGATGATCTGGTCATGCAGGCCGCAGTGCCCCCTTTCTGAAAAAGTGAAAGATTGATGTTAACACGGCTGAGATTCATGAGAAGAGATATGTTCCCGTTGAATATTTCAAAACCCTAGGTCACAAAAGTGCCAAAAAGCCATTTGAAACTGAAAGATGTTAGAATGTTAGGCCATTGTACAATATACCATAACCTATAAAGCAGGTGAGAAGTAAGACACTAGTATAGAGGTAAAAGACTAATAAAAGTGAGGAGAAATTTCAAAAGAAAAGCACAAAACCATGATTGGATATTTTCCCTCTGATGTCACAATTACTCTACTCAACAGTAAATGTGTAAATTAGTAAAGACCTCCCCCCACCCCCCACCCCCAAGTTCAACTGTAAAACAGAGAGAAGACCGCCACCCATGCCCTCCTGTTGACATGGGACGTGAGTACCATGATGCTCACATTCCAGGCGGAAACTTGGCAATGGCAAGTTCTATGGGTTGGCCTTTAAACTAAATGTTCTTGCTCCATGTTTTTCATTCCTTATCAGCATATGCCCTCAGTCTATTTTCCATGATGGCTTTTATCAGACAGTGCTAGGGTCAGGGGCCCTCATGCTTTTTCTTCCAGCTCTTTCATCTCTGGCCTCATTTGCATCCTCAGTCCCTGTGGACTTTCAGTATCTTTAGAATTTGCATAAATCTCTAGATTCTTGATCTTGCTTCTGATAGCCCGCTTTCTGTTCCAGCTGACCTGGCGCCTACCCTCACTTGATGAGACCAGTTTCCCTCAAACCAGATAAATGTCCACTTCATGGGGAAGTGGAGATGAGTTTCACGGGGACTTGTGGGGGTCAGGGAGCAAAGATGGAACCTTTCTCTGCCCATGGTCTTTTACTATGTATTTTCTTTTGAAGTTCTTTACCTTTGATTATATCATATGCTTTCTGTTCTCATCTTTGCCCCCAGTGAGCCTCTCCCACCAAGCAGCTCTCCCACCTCCTGTAGTTCCTGTAATGTCCGCTTTGTAGATGTGGGTGCACCTCCGGTCCCTCACTCTTTGTTTTCATTCACACCTTGTATCCAACGAACCAGTAAATTCTATTGTCTCTGCTTGAATCCAGCTGTTTCACCAGGATCCCGCTAATCTCAGGCACAATCATCTCTAATCTAGACTTCGCCCCCCGCCCGCCGTCAGTGGTCTCTGGCCCCACTCTTGCTCATATATAGACCATCTCTGACTTAGTAGAGTTTTCTTCCAGATCGGGGTATTATTAAAATCCTTCAAAGCTTTCTCATTAAACTTAAAAACAATGAGACTTAAGACTTCTGGAAGCTGGCAACCAAACCCACTTGATCTAGCTTTTGAATCTTGCCTCCCTTTGAGGGAAGGAAACAAACACATGACAACCCAATGCATAGAGACCAGGAAACCACCACATCAGCAGCGGTCACCAGCATCACAAAGAACCAGACAATCCCAAAGGGAGGCCCATGCTACTTACTGTGCTCTCCCAGTGAGTGTACTACATCCACATGTCTGCCAATGGAGGAGGCATTGGTAAGTGGCAAATGGCCAAGGACGTTCCTGGCCTCCTTCCACAGTATTGTCCCAGGGTCCCTAACAAAGCAAACAGTAGGGAAACAGAATTCAAATTGTATAATTAGAGGCAGTTATTAGAACTAAAAGTATTTCATGTTTTCACTCCAGTGAGCCGAGGCACTTTTAACTGCTAGCTCTTCTTGGCCAGCTAGAATGACCAAGGACAAAATAACTCATGACAATAGCAACGTATTTCCTATTCTGCAGGCCATCTCCACAATAAAGATCAGCTCAGTGGTTCCCTAAACTGCACTGCCATTATTTGGAATTCAGTGCTTATTCTCTTCTCTCTAAACCTCAGACCATCCTGAGAAAGTCTGCCAGG